CCCCAAAACCCCAAAACCCCAAAACCCCAAAACCCCGGGGGGGAAGGAGAGAATTGGTTTGGTTAAAAATGGAAATAGAAAGTTTCTTTGTTGATTTTCAGAAATTTTTCTATGACTTTTTTTTGGTATTTTGATTTACTCTTTGTTTCCTTCTTTTTGATTTCTGATTTGTTTATACTAATTGGCTCTAGATACTCTCAAAGATCTTTAACACCAATAGAATTACAAAATTCCTTGATCTCTTCAGGACTCATGTTTTTGATCATTCTCAAAATCTTATGATTCAAAAGATCCTTCTGTGAATTCAACTTTGAAGTACCATCCTGGTCTTTAAAGCTCTCAGTTGGAGCCAATCTTGCTTTTGGAGACTGGGCACTAGTTTTCAATCGTAACATTTTTATGTAGAAGAAGTTGTTCTGAAGAGTCTTTGGGTGGGGAAGGGGGGTTGAGAAGTCTTTGGGCGAGGGGGTGGGGAGTGGGGGGTGGGACCGTGGGAGGTGAATGGGCGAGGTCTTCTTGGGGGGTGTTGGGTGTGCGAGGTTTTGGGTCTTGGGGGATTTTGAGGGGGGTTATGGAGGTGGTTTTGGGGTTTTGTGTTGAAAAGGAGGGTTGAGCTTCCTTTGGGGGTGATAAGGTCCCCTCTGATGATCATTGTGCTGCCTTGCAGTTTCTAGGGTTTAGTGTGTATTCTACTTACCCTAATTTTTGAATTATCAACCTGGACAGCTAGCTCAATGTTCATTTCTTTATTTTCAGTGTTAAGATACAGAGGGATATTCCTACTCTTAGACCTGGTGCGCATGATGATTTTCTTCTCTCTATTACTAATATAATTGTTCTTCTTATGTCTCTGGGCCTCCAGATGGTCTTGAATTGCTCTCATCTTAACTAAATTATCTTTGGATTTAGAAATTTTATCATTTTCAAGGAAACCTCCAACATCAACTTTCCTGATCTCTGTGATGAAGTTCATCTTAATCCGATCCTTCTTCTTAACTTTTTTGTCTTCCTTGATAGCTTGTTTCGCGATATGCTCTCGCTTGTTAATAAGCTTCTCTACTCTGTATCTAGGGTCTTCTTCCTCACGGATCTGCTCTTCTTGCTCTAGAGGAATTAGTAACTTGAGTACCTCGCTTTTTCTCAATTTCTTGCATGTTCTTAAGCCGATTGGTTTTTACTAAATATTAAAAGGAAAATCAGTACCGTTATAAGCAGATTTGTTAATATGCCATGTCTCTTTATCATTCTTGATTTTCAGCCATTTTAAGTACCTCTGATGGATCTCATGAGGGGATTTGAATTTAGTACTAGCCTGTTCAAAGTATTTCTTTGGGATAACTTCTTTCGCAGTCATTACACGGTTGTTCAATAGATTAGAAAGAGGATATACTCTTTCTATCTTAGAGCTATCCATCTTTTCATTTGCAGTGACAAGAGTCTTTGTATCATCAGGGATCTTAAGAACTGTAGAATCATTGGCAGAATTTTCCAAGCTTTCGCTTGGAGATAGCTCCCCAAAATTCCTAATCTTGCTCTTGTTGCTCATATGGAAGCCACTCTTGACGATACTGAACAGATTAGTCCTATTTCTTAGGCGATCCAAAATCCATGCCCTTGATTATTCCACTATTATTTTTCATCCTTGAAATGGTATTGATAACATGTTTCGAGAAGTTTTCATTCTCGATTTGAGCAGTTGACTTGCTATCCTCTTGTTCGTTAAACACAATTGACTTCACATCATTATTCTGAGGAGTCTGGCTAGGCTCCTTATGGACAATTAAGGAAGAACTCCTTGCTCTCTTTATCCTTGATGAAGGCGAATTCATTTTATTTTTTCAATATGAAAATTTAACAACGGGGTTTTGGGGTTTTGGGGTTTTGGGG